AAGAAAAGTGCCTGGTGTTTTGCTTAAATTTAAGAAGCTTTACTGGCTAGTTTCATTAGTTCTTGTTTTAGAAATAAGACGAAATTCATTGCTATTTTTGTTTTTAGGCATTTGTCTCTTGCATATACTGATATTTTAGTAATAGATCAGAAACCTACCTCTCTTATTGAAATGAAAACTCCTGCTAAGCTGGCTACTATCAGAGGCAAAAAAGAAGAAAGATTTTTCTGCTGAATATGGTCAGTGTGAAAAACACACAAATACTCACTAAAAACCTCATTTTCCTCAAGGGGTTCAGACACCTTCAATACCAAGTTTTGTGTCTAGGATACATTATCTTACTCTAAAATTCTGACCCAGTATGTAGCTGTTTTTAAAAAAAAAAACCTTGTTATTTTAAATCCGTAGAGTGCTAATGTAACTCTCATACTGAAACTTATGAATTTCCATTATAAATAGTGGACTATGATTATGTCTGGTTCCTTTTAGATTCCTTTTAGATTCATTTTGGAACTGTAACTACAGCTTTGTGCCATAGCTTCAAAAGGAGTAGCATTTGGAGGAGAGACATGAATTACTAAATTATCATCTACACCAACCACATGGCTCTCTGTGTGTACGTAATGGGTTGGGGTACATGGGCAGAATTAAACTTTTATCACCACTGCCCCCACCAAACAGAGCAGAATGTTAGAAAGGGTTTCAGTATTTTGACCAGCCTGGCATAAACATTGCCCTTTTGGTGGGTAGATTTTAAATGACTAACTGCATACTGTACACACCTGTACCGCACGTTACTATGTGATTTTGCTGCCTTCAGAGAATATTGCCTTTGAGAAAAGTGTGTGATCTAGGGGGAAATACGAAGACAATAAAAATCGCAAACCATGTGCTTTTCTCCAGCCTTTGCACGTGGTTTGGGTTTGTGTGGTGATACGTTTCACCCTGGACCTCCAGCTTTTCGTGGGACCATTCTCACACTTATCGTGCACAACCACGTCATCCCACTTTATTTCTGTGACACCACTGCAAACACGAGTGCTAGCTTTTTCCAGGTACACATTGAGTTCCCTAAAAACAATTGAGGGGCTTCCCTGGTGGCGCAGTGGTTGAGAATCTGCCTGCCAATGCAGGGGACACGGGTTCGAGCCCTGCTCTGGGAGGATCCCACATGCTGCGGAGCAGCTGGGCCCGTGAGCCACAACTGCTGAACCTGCGCGTCTGGAGCCTGTGCTTCGCAACAAGAGAGGCCGCGATAGTGAGAGGCCCGTGCACCGCGATGAAGAGTGGCCCCCGCTTGCCGCAACTAGAGAAGGCCCTCACACAGAAACAAAGACAGAACACAGCCATAAATAAATAAATAAATAAAACCACATATTGTAAAACAAAACAAAACAAAAAAACCCAATTGATTACCAAGGAAACCTAACAGGATAATAAAAAGGAGAGTTAGGATTTAGGTATGTTTCCTTAATATGCCAAAGCCTGATTTCTTCTAAAGCCCCTGGCTAAGTGGACCAAAACATGAATATAAATGGTCCTGTCGTCTGAGTAAATGCTCCATCTTAAACTTTGATGGAAGTTTATGCTGTATCTCAGTACATTATTACAGATCTGTAAAGTTTAAAAGAATCTTAGTAGTCTTTCTAAACATGGACCAGCTTAACATGCTGCTGATTTAGGCAGTGCCGTGCTGCGATCCTCAGTCAGGGTAGGAGCATCCCCTGTATCCAGAGGGCATTTTGGGGTGCGTGTGTGTGTTGGGGGTACTTTTAGAGGACTGGGGATGCCTGGTGTTTAGTGGGTGGGCTCGGGGATGCTAAACATCCTGCAGTCCTTGAGGTAGTCTCGCAGAAGGAACACTCGTGCTGGCCCAGAATAGCATTTCACCCCCGACCCCATTAGAGACACGCGTAGGGTGACGACTGGTCAAGGGACACGCGCGCAGTCCTGCGGGGCAGCTGGGCTGGAGATCATTAACGTGCTGTTCATTCAAGTGTTTAGCTTTCACGAGTTCTCCCGTCTCAACCTGGGTCCCAAGATTGTAGACCATGCACTGTAAATGAAATACACATATATTGATTAAAATCACCTTGCTTTTGTAATTTTAGGGGGTGTCTGAAAATGAACATTTTGGTGCCTCCCCAGATCAGAGCTGGGCGTTGCTCTTTCCGACGGGGCTGGTGGGCACAGCGGAGGGGAAGGCTGTCTGCCTCCCGACACTGGTCCCAGCCGTGCCTGTGACTGCAGCCCGAAGAGCTTAGCCTGATCGCTGGCCTGACCCCTTTGTTTGCGGCCATACACCAGACTGCAGGATTGCCTGGGTGTTGCAGCTCAGGGAAGGAAGTCCCTGGAAAGACCAGAGCAAGTGAAGCTTGGCGGAATGTCTCACAGGAGCTGCTGATGGTCTTTTTTTTTTGCTTATTTTTGGCTGTGTTGGGTCTTTGTTGCTGCACGCGGGCTTTTCTGTAGTTGCGGCGAGCGAGGGCTACTCTTCATTGCGGTGCGTGGCCTTTTTTCATTGCGGTGGCTTCTCTTATTGCGGAGCACGAGCTTCAGTAGTTGGCGGCACGTGGGCTCAGTAGTTGTGGCTCTCAGACTCTAGAGCGCAGGTTCAGTAGTTGTGGCACATGGGCTTAGTTGCTCCATGGCATATGGGATCTTCCCGGACCAGGGCTCGAACCCGTGTCCCCTGCATTGGCAGGCGGATTCTTAACCAGTGCGCCACCAGGGAAGCCCTGATGGTCATTTTAAGTGCCTGTGATGGGAGGTGCAGTTTTTGTGGGTTGCGCAGACCTTCCCAATCCACTTAATTTTTAAGAAAGTTCACTTTCTACATACTACTGGCTTGTTACATCTAATCTCAGCAAAAGTATTCATTTTGCGGGTTCTTTGCTTTTTCAGAGAGTTGTGTGAACTTTGAGTCAAATATGAACCAGCTCAGAACCTTAAAATAGTTTTTTTCTAAATTCCTGTTAATGAGTTTGCAAAATGGTTAAAAATAGTGTGACGGTCACTTTTTTATGTTAATTATTAGCATTGGTTTCCAGAGGTGACATTTTTTTCTTGGTCCTCAAATTTAGAGGTGATCGAGATGTAGGAGTTAGAGTCTGAAATCTCCTACGCGTGAACCTCTGGTCTCTTATACGCACCTTAACCAGGGTAGTGGCATTTGGTACACACTGTTTGGTGGTTCAGTTTCTGAATCAGTAGGTAACAGAGAAAGAAGAGCGTATCTGAGGCCCAGCATTTGTCAGCCCCGCGTCCCTCCACTTCAGTTTCGAGTGTGACATTCATTGTGGGCTTATGAGTGTAATTTAATTTGGAGCTGCGTTTGTTACAGAGTATTTGACTTTGGGGCTGCTTCTCACATCTCTCTCATGTGCCCTTGGAACCGTAATTGAGAGAGACTTGCATTGTAGCAGCCATTTTGTGATTTCTTTAAATTATTGCTGGCAGGAAAAGGAAGAAACTTAGGTTTTTATATTTTAATAAACTTGAAGAATCCAAAACGTGCCTAGTCTTCTCAGTAAACTTCAGTTCTTTAATTTGTAGACTTGTGATTGGAGAGGAAACGTTTATTAAAATCTGGAAAATTATGCCTGACTTCTCTATATGTTATATCAGTCAGAGAACCTTTAAGACAGGCTGTATGTGTGTCAAAGTATCTTTCAATCATCACAGTCTTGAGTGTTAGGGGAAAAATGATTTGTAAAGACTAATTTTTGTTCAACTTAGACAGAGTCTTAAGTATCCAGCCAAGGCATGACAACACGTTCGGAACTCGCCACTTTTTAGTTCTTATATCAGGAAGCTAAATAATACATTTAGGGGACTTCCCTGGTGGTCCAGCGGTTAAGAATCTGCCTTCCGATGTAGGGGACACGGGTTCAATCCCTGGTTGGGGAACTAAGATCCCACATGCTGCACGGCAACTAAGCCCATGCGCCGCAACTACTGAGCACACGAGCCACAACTAGAGAGAGAAGCCCGCACGCTGCAACAAAAGATCCTGCATGCTGCAAGGAAGATCCTGCGTGGCCGCAGCTAAGACCCAACGCAGCCAAAAATTAAATAAATAAATTTTTTTAAATAATAACTACAGTCAGTCAGTCTGTGTCCTCGTTACATTTCTGTCTGTGTTAGGACGAATTTGGAATATATGTCTATCCAGCTATTTATATATTTCACGTGAAAAATAGTGAGAAGCAAGCATTTCTTAATGTTAAGCATTATAGCTGCTGTGTTATTTTCCTTTGGGACCGTGATATAAGGTAGCTAGATTTGCATGTTTTCCATATGCTAGCAAATTCTGGGTTTTTTCAAGCGATAAATTGGAAAATGACCTTGAAATAAATTTCCTTAAACCACCAATATGGCACTATTAGAGACATTTTTTCAGGCCTTCCCATCACTACCACCTTGTGACCTTACTATGCTAGTAATGCTTCCATGTTCCCACTGTCTTCATAATTACCTTTTCAGATTACTACATAGTATTCTGTTCTCTCCGATGTGTCTGTGACCATTTCGCCCTTTCTCTCTTCACTGTCGAGGTGGTTTCTGAAGTTGCTGGCAGCATGGTGCACAGACCCTCCTCTGTCCTCTCCCGTCACTTACAGACTTGGTGTGAATGCCCAGAAACGGCTTCACTTAGCTGTCGTGGGGCCAAAATGTGAGACGGTGTATGGAAAATATGTTGACAGTTATCAAAGTATTTTGTAGAAAAACAGCTCAGACCTGAGCGTGCCTGTGCTTTATTAAAGCCACGAGGGCACACATTTGGATCCAGACTGCACGCGCAGGCACAGAGCTGGGGGCGTGTGGTGTGTGTTTTGGGGTTGGGGGTGTGTGTCTGTGTGTGGTGACAGGTATGAGAATGGGTGCGGAGGAGGGACATACTCTCACCACGTTGCCCAGGACCGTTGAGTTCAGGTGGGGCACTCGGAGATTATTAAAAACACCCGGTTAAGTGTAATGTGTCCCATTCTGTTTTCTAGATCAACGTCCGAGTTACCACCATGGACGCGGAGCTGGAGTTCGCCATCCAGCCAAATACAACAGGAAAACAGCTTTTCGATCAGGTTGGTTTCTGTGAACTTGAGAGAGCGGGTTCCCAGGTAGAAAAGAGTGTTTGCAGCATCGGAATCACTTTGCCGAGCGTATTTACTACCTTGGTTGGCTGCTAGCTTCTCGCTGTGGAGCAGACCCTGCCAGCGGGGTTCAGCTGCCGTAAACACTCTCCCCGGGGGGCCCCTGTTCGCAGTCCCGAGGAGAAGGGGCGCCGTGCAGTCTTCACGAGCCGGAGCCTCACCCGAGAGCTCTGGCTGCCGCCTCTCCCGCTGGGGTCTCCACGGTCCCCCTGGCCGTTTCCTGCCATCTGGTTCGCGGCCGGGGTGCAGTGGAGGACAGCATGGGGCCAGGCGGCCTCTCTCCAGCACTCCCTGCAGCCGCAGAGTCCTGAGCCCCTCGGAGGTCAGCACACACCCTTCCCTCCAGCCAGGTAACAGCCCAGCCGCGCTCCTGCCCCTCTCTTCATGGAAGCTGAAGGTGACGCAGAGTTCTAATAAGCGCGGTGCACCACCGTGAGGGCCGTGATAACTCTTCCATGCAACGGTTCCAAGCTTTAGACAGAGCGAGAGCTACCTTTCTGGGCTTTGTAAATTCTGCTCTGGGACTGAGGACCCAGTAGGGCGCCGGGGCAGGGTGTGCGTTCACAGGCACCTGCACCGTCGGCGGCCTTCCTGAGAGGCCCCGCCGGTCGGCCAAGCCATGCTCTGCATCCCAGCACCAAACTGGAAAGTGGAGCGGAGTCCTGGCAAATGTAGAAACTATAGGTGACTCACCCTGGGCCTGATGGGCTCTCCCTTTCATCCCCAAAGCCAGCACCCAGCAGGTTAATTTCCCCAAGCCAGTGAGCAGGGCCTGGGGGCTCACACCTCAGCGGAGGGGTCGAAGGCAGCCTCCGCTCTCCCTGTGCTGTGATTTTGAGGCCATTCCCTGGCCGTGCCTCACCTGATAACGATAAAGACATTTACTGCCTGGGGCGGGACTGGACTTGGGGTGGAAATCGAAGGGTTTCTCCTGAAAGAAAATCCTGGCACCATATGGGGGCAGTGGTGAGAGCACGGACGGGGAGGAAGCGGGGGCTCGGGTCAGCACTGCCTGCAGCTAGCGTGCCCCTCAGTCACCAGAGTTAGTGTTGGAATTTTTTTCAGTATTGTGTGTTCCTGTTGTGAAATACCCTGTAATCTGAGGACTTGAGGCTGGAGCGGACCTGTGGAACCGCTCCTGGAACCGCTCGTGGGTCAGCGGAACATGACTCGGTCTGTGGTAGAACTGTGGACACAGAGGCCTGGCAGGAAAGGCCGTCTCCACAGCCTTGACCCCAGTTGCACCTCGCTCTTTGAAGATCCGCTTGTTCATGCCTCCGCCGTGGTGCGGTGAGGCGGGGATGCTCAGGCCCCGTCGGCGCACGTGGGCCGGCGCCCCTCCGCCACGCCGGGCATGTTTCCTCCTGAACGGACATCCGGGAGGGGCTGCGGGCTGCGCGGGGCTCTGCGTCCTTTCTCTGCTGCTCCACCTGATGCGCTTCTAGGTCTCGGAAGCTCATCCACGGGCCCAGCTGCCAGTCACTGAAATGTGGTCCTTAACTGGCATCGGTTGAAGGAGACTTGGAAGGTAGTTAGTCTGTCCGATTCTCTCCTACCCCCTCTGTCACTTGAGTCTCCTCAGCAGTAGCTGTCCCCCAGCCCCTGTCCCAGTGCTGTTGCTTCGTCTGTGACTAGATTCTAGTCCAGGGCTCCGAGGTGACGGAGGCCCTCACAGAGACCATCGCAGAGGCCGGGCGGGGCCATGGTGCTTCCCCACTACTGCAGCTGCCGACGTGCTGAGAAAGGAGTTCCTGCCACGTGACTCTCTGCTCACTGTTTTCATCACCAGAAAGTATCAATAGTATTTTCCAGCTGTCGCTTGAGACTGACTTAAGTAGACACATCCCTGCCTTTGCCTTTCGCAAAACGTGCCATTTAAAACAACACAGAGGGGCTTCCCTGGTGGCACAGTGGTTAAGAATCCACCTGCCAATGCAGGGGACACAAGTTCAAGCCCTGGTCAGGGAAGATCCCACATGCCGCGGAGCAGCTAAGCCCGTGCACCACAACTACCGAGCCTGTGCTCTAGAGCCCGCGAGCTGCAACTACTGAGCCCACGTGCCACAACCACTGAAGCATGTGTGCCACAACTACTGAGCCTGCGCTCTAGAGCCCGCGAGCCGCAACTGCGGAGCCCGAGTGCCACAGGTACTGAAGTCCGCGCGCCTAGAGCCCGTGCTCCACAACAAGAGAAGCCACCGCAGTGAGAAGCCCGCACAGCGCCACGAAGAGTAGCCCCCGCTCGTCGCAACTAGAGAAAGCCCGTGCGCAGCAACGAAGACCCAACGCAGCCAAAAATTTAAATACATAAATAAATAAATAAATAAAATAATAAAAATAAAACACCACAGAGGCATAGATGAAGGAATGGCCCCCACACCCGTCCAGGCGTGGCTTGCGTGCTGTGTGTCGGCTTTAGGCTGAGGTAGGGACATTAGAGAGAACAGTGATTGTATTTTTCTAGGAATGCTGGGTTTCCCTCGCAGAGAGGACTGACAGGTCAGTTTTTAGAATGGACTGCAGAAAGGAAGGTTGTTTACTTCTGTTTTGTTGTTTTGGGGGAGCCGTAGGGAGAGAAGTAGGGCTTTGAAACACGTTGAGGACAGTTGTCCTGGAAGTAGACGGAAGAGTCATACGTAAAGATGGGTGGCAGATCAGGGAACCCAGGGACAGGCTTCCACCGAGAGAGTGAGGGACCCGGGTCAAGTCCACGGCTCCAGTCTGATCGGCTCCGTGAAGGGGGACCGGCCACATCGGAGCAGATGGAGAAGAGGAGTCTGAAGATCAGCGAGGGTCTGACAGGCACGGGGCAGGGAAGTCAAGTGGACAGGAAATGGTTTCACGCCGGTCAGACCCAGGCTAAGGCTGCAGCTGGGTGGATGGAGTGGAAGGAGAGGTAGAGTGGCTTCTGTACATGGGGCTTTCTTGTGCGGCTTTGGACAGCCCGCAGAGGAAGGCGAGGCAGGTTTCGTATCCAGATGTTGAGATGGAGGTTTAGGAAACTAGCAGGATTGGGTATAGAAAACCTGGTCTTTCAGTCAGCTTCCTCTATACTTGGCTACCACGAAAAGCAGAACTGGGGCTTCACCAGACTTGCGGGGAGAGCTCTGGTAAGAGTCAAAACTGCCTTCCTGTCGCTTCGTGATGAGGACTCGGGTCTAGTCCCTCCTCCCCTTTTTTGGGTGAGTGAAGGGAGTGAATGAGCAGGTCATTCCCTGGCCTGTAGTAAACGGAGACTCGGGAGCTCCGCAAGCATCTGGCCCCACAGCCCAGGCCAGTGCAGAGACAGGCTCAAGGCAGACTTTGTTTGGTGTTTCAGTTTTTATTGTAAGTGCTCCAGATACCTGATTTTCATTTCTAGTGTGTACATCCCTCTTTCCCCTTAAATATGATAGAAGCCATATATTTGAAGAATAGTAACCTTTTTTTTAAAGGCTTAACATTATATGTCATGGAATTTAAAACTATGCGGCAGAGTTTTGACAGTATTCAACAAGTGTCCACGGCAAGTTGCTTTTTGACTTCAAGACACAAGAGTAACCATCGTGGGGCTGTCAGTGTAATGGACCACAGGAGACTTTTGTCCTAGTACTGGAGAGAATTTTAAAAACGTGAAACGCACTGTGACCTAGGGCTGAATTCCACCTTCCTGTATCAGAATTTCACGTTTCTGGAGGTTGAAAGTGCTCGTCGCCCCTTGGCATGCGTGAAGCTGAGCACTCCCCCCCTTCCCTGGAAGCTTGTTGCCCGCCGCCTTCTATACTTTCCCGGGACCGCGGCTGCCCTGACCCCACTGAGCGGAGGCCCAGCCAGCTGCCGAGGAGCAGAGACGGGCATCCAGGGGAGGCTCTGCTTCACGTTGGTGTCTTTCAGCCCCTTTTTCATGTGGGCTCCCCGACAGGTGCAGTCACACCTGTGACACACACACACTTTTACCGGTGGGTGTACCTGGGTTACGGCCCATTCCCTGTGGCCCACCTAGCTGTCTTTACTCAGAAACGCATAATGGAGGACAGAGGAGTAGGGGTGACATTTTATAAGATTTAAAGTTAACCCTAAATCTGCTCAAATTTATATTAAAAGTAAATGGTTCAGGGACTTCCCTGGCGGTCCAGTGGTTAGGACTTGGTGCTTTCACTGCAGGGTTCTGGGTTCAATCCCTGGTCAGGGAGCTAAGATTCCACAAGCTGCACAGTGTGGCCAAAAAAAAAAAGAAAAGTAAATGGTTCACGTCTTAGTAACAGACGGTGTAGCGGAGGCCTGCCCGCGGCGTCTAAGCTGGCGCCTCGCTCTCCTGGCAGCTCTGCTGCACCGTGTGATGGTGGCAGCCCAGGGCCACTGCCATCCAGAGAGTTCCTCATGACTGTTTCGCCCCCCTCCCCCGTCTCTTTCACACAGGTGGTTAAGACCATCGGCCTTCGGGAAGTGTGGTACTTTGGCCTCCAGTATGTAGATAATAAAGGATTTCCTACCTGGTTGAAACTTGATAAAAAAGTAAGTCGTGTTAACTATTTACAGGCTATTAATTGGGTTTGGTCTACTCTGTTGACATTGAAACTCTGTCTTTGGTTTTGTGTTCCTTTCTATTTGTGTAAAAGTTTTTAAAGACAGAGAGGTTGCAGGTTTCCAGTAAATGGAGGTAGTTGCTGGAAATGAGATCCTGGCATTTCTCCTTACTGCTCCCTTATTGGAGTGTGTGATGCTTAATTGCTCAGCTTTTAGTTGACCTTAGCTTTTGTTTTTTTTTTTTTTTCCAATGAGATTGTTAATCTTATAAACCATGAATCATCCACTGTTTTGTAAGAATCTGTTATTGCTCTGTTTGAACCTGTGATAAGAGTTTCAACTCCAAAGACTGGATAATTGCATTAACAATTACAAAGAAAAGCAGTAAGCTAAATGTGTTTTCTCCAGACAGTTTCTCTCTTTTCTCCAACTCCTGCTTTCCCTCCCATATTACTGGACCGATCAGGAGGGTGATTGGAGGCATGGAAGGGGGTGGGGGGCGTGAGGAATTACTGAGAGTGAGCTCATGGTCCAGGGCTGGCCTGGCCATGTGGACAGAGGCCAGATTCACGGGTCACTCAGGCAGTCCCCTGGAGTTGATAGCATCGCCCCCAGAAAACCAAGGCTGGGGCTGGGGCTAGTGTGAGGGTGTAACAGGACTCTCACTGGCCTTCTGTCTTCCATGCTAAAAAGGTGACTTTCAGAACAAACACTATCTTCTGAAAACTGGCCTGAAGGATGCTTTTGAGTCAGTGGTTAAAACCTGTGTTGGGAAGGCAGGTCTTTGTCTTTTGAACTTGCAGTGAGGTTTGGCCTCTGCCGCCCAGGTGTCCGCCCAGGAGGTCAGAAAGGAGAACCCTCTGCAGTTCAAGTTCCGGGCCAAGTTCTACCCCGAAGACGTGTCCGAGGAGCTCATCCAGGACATCACCCAGAAGCTTTTCTTCCTGCAAGTGAAGGAGGGGATTCTCAGCGATGAGATTTACTGCCCGCCCGAGACGGCGGTGCTCCTGGGCTCCTACGCTGTGCAGGCCAAGTTCGGGGACTACGGCAAGGAGCTGCACAAGTCCGGGTACCTTGGCTCCGAGCGGCTGATCCCCCAAAGGTGAGCCGGCGGGGGCCGGGCCCGCGTGCAAGCGTCGTGTCAGGGAGGGTCGGGAGGCAGAAGGGCTTTGTGGAGGGCGAGTGTTCTGCAGGCTGGGGACTCTGTCTGCAGTCACGGGCTGGCCTTCCGCAGGCCCTGCCACCCCTCGGTGGACCCTGGAGTGGCCTCTGCGACAGAGGGACTCAGCAGGGGAGGGGGCCCTCCTCACAGGAGCCGCAGGTGCCGGAGCGGAACCATCTTAGCTCTCCCTGGTGTATATGGTAAACCGGCCCCTGTTCAATCTTTTTATTTACTGGCGGTCACATAAATTACCTCTTTTGGAAGGAGAGGCCACTTAAAATAAAACACCTTTTAAAAGTGTTTCCAGCAAGACTGGGTCTGTCTCATTCCAGGTTCTGAATCGTCCAGGCTGTTAATTGTCATAAATAGAAATGCCGCATCTTAGGAAGTAGATGGTTTTATTTGAAAGAACAGTCAGGGTCTGTGTGAGGGTGCTCAGTGGCCGGTCGCACGCTGCTCCCGGCCCTCTGGGGTGACGGCTCTGTGCCCTCTTCCTTTGCGATCCAGAGTCATGGACCAGCACAAGCTCACCAGGGACCAGTGGGAGGACCGGATCCAGGTGTGGCACGCCGAGCACCGCGGGATGCTCAAGTGAGTGCTGGGCTGGGAGCCGGTCTTCTTTGCAGGGGACTCGGGTCCTTCAGGTGACTCGCTCGGAGCCGTGCCTAGAGGGGCAGGGAAGGTAAGGAGCTGCTGGTGAGGTTTCTTCCCAAACGAAGCCAGCTGTTCCTCCCCACTGCCACCAGGGCAGAAGTGGTTTGGTTTACACCTTCAGTCCCTCCAGCCTTCTCCCCTCCTTGTTTCAGAGGAAAGAAAAGCTTGTGTCTGAAACTCTTCATTTTAGTCAAGGGGGCCGGAGCATTGCTCGCAGCCCACCAGGCATTTTCTTTTCCCTGTCACAGAGGTGCTGATTCGTTCATCGTCCATAAGGTGGTTGCCTTCAAAAGGTTGTAAATGTAAAAAAAAAAAAAAAGATCCCAAGTGAGAAACACTTGCTAATAAAGGAGCACCAGCGAGGTGTGGAGAGGGTCGGAGTGGGACCTGCGGTGGGTGAGAACGGAGCGGCCAGATGCCTGTCCTAGAATCCTCCTCTCGGGCACTGGCAGCAGCTCTTGGCATGATGTCCCGTCCTCAGAAGTTCATTTGCAGTTTGGGCCTCAGAGACTTTGTGTCCTTAGAGTTTCCTGCCTGACCCGAACATCTTCTGTGGAGAGAAATAACTCAAAACCCAAGCAGTGGCCCCAAGTGAGGCAGACGGTGGGCTCCCTGAAGCACGGTGTGGGCCACAGAGAGAGAGAGGTCGTGCCCGGTGATAGAATTTCCAAGGGAAGCCCTCTGTGTCCAGAGTGGGCAGCACGAGCCAGTTTGGTTCTTTCCTGACACGTGACGTACGCCCGTGGTCAGTGTCCAGGATGGCTGGGCGCCCACTTGGGGCACAGGCCGGCAGAGGGACGGAGGCACCTGGCCGTCAGCCCGTCCTCCATGATGCACTACGTTTCAGATCCCGGTGACGGTGTAACTGTTGAGCGCGGGGTGCACGCTGACGACGATGCCAATGTTTGTTCTCCCCACCCAGAGACAGTGCTATGTTGGAGTATCTGAAGATTGCCCAGGACCTGGAAATGTATGGGATCAACTATTTTGAGATAAAAAATAAGAAAGGAACAGACCTTTGGCTTGGAGTTGATGCCCTTGGACTAAATATTTATGAGAAAGATGATAAGTGAGTTGAACTTTATATTCTCTTTAGTTGGTGGGGCATCAGGCCTGGAAACCATGGAGAAAATGGCAGGTGTGCGTGTGGGTTCTTTTCAGAGCATTTAGCAACTTACTGGCCCAGTGTCTGACGCTTAAGAGCTTCGCGACTGTGACGTGGCCATGGCGGAGGTCGGTTCAGAGGTGTGCGTTATTCCTCTCTTAGCCTGTTCATCATTAGCACGTGTAGCACGTGCCGAGGGGCCCAGCAGGTGGACCACACCGGTCCGTGACCTCATGGACTTTGGAGCTTGTGAAAGAACAAGAGCTGCAGGAAAGCCAACTCCCGCCCCTTCCTGTGAGGCCGCCCCAGCTGCCTGTAGGTACCAGCACGCCCATGGCCACCAGCCAGCAGTGCTGGGCGGCTTGAGGTGTGTGCTGATCCGACCCAGAATATTTATGGTGCTATCAGGGACCTTGAGATTCTGCACACGGTAGTAGCCTTTCTGTGCGGACAGTCTGGCTAAATCCTCTGAACCTGCAGGAGGTACCCGATTGCCTCAGTGTGTTAGTTTGTGGAGTGGGCCCTGCTGCAGTTCAGTGCAGGCAGGCTGGCCTCCCCCGGCTTCCTTTGCCCATTCCTGTGGTTACCAGTTCTGCGCAGATGCCTTTTTCCTGCCAAGACACACACACACACACACACACACACACACAAATCATTCTGATTCGGCAAGGACAAGTTTTCCGCGGCGGTTCCCTGTTCCTTGGGCTTGGAGTGGCAGCTCACCTGTCTCACCTGCTCTTGGCTCCCCCAGGTCCCAGGTTCCCACCCCTACCCTGACGTTCTTGAGGGCAGCAGCGCCGCTTCTGACACACGATAACCTGTACAGAGTCCACCATAATCCCGGCCACAGGCGCTCTGGCCAGGACCCACAGTCCAGACCCATTTCCCCTGGGGTGGGGACCGGTGCCTGGCGTTCCAGCCCCTCCACCGCACGCCCAGAGTGGGTGGAGGAGAGCGTCTCCGCCGGGAGGCGCGGTGCCAGTCGGACGAATCCAGTTACACTTAGGACGTGGCGTGCTTAGCAGAGGGTCAGGGACTCGCCTGAGGACCCCGAAGTGAGTTACTGGGGACTCCTGGTTTGCTCCTTCCCCGGCGTGCTAGACCCAGTGCTGTGGACAGGCAGAAACAGTCTGCATCAGTCAGGGACTCGGGAAACCAGCCCTAGTTCTTGTGGAGGCCCCTGGGCTGGAGGGCGGGAGCTGGTCAGCAGGGAGCACCGCGGCCTCGTGGGAGTATACATGGGAAACCGCCTTCCTGAATGAGCAGATCTTGTGACGTAGCCAAGGCCGGGGCTTCCGAACAGGTTTTTCAAGCTGCCAGGTAGAGCCAGAGGCAGGGACGTGCTGTCAACTTGTGACTTCCCTCACCCACGCAAATCCCGAGTGAAACTCCGAGCAGCTTGGCTCTTCCAGTCCTGCCTCCGCTCTCCTCCCCTCCCCCAGCTTAGCTGTGAAACGGGCAACCTCTCAAAAGGGTCTTCTCCCCAAAGAAAAAAGTCTCTTGGGGTCCCTTTTTCATTGTACGTATAACAGTCAAGTTGGGAGCATGTAGGACAGGAAGCATTTGTCTTCCTTTCTGTAAACCCTTAGATCTGAAGAGGAGAGAACATCGAGAGGGAGGAATTAGGCAGCTTCCCCGCACGCTGCCGTCAGCGTGGGACAGAAAAAGTTGAGATGAGCTGTGTTATAACCCTACCCGGCATCCTCAGGCCACAACAAAAACTAGAGGAGCTGATCCTGCCCCAGATTCTTCAGTGCTTTGCAAGCACGCTTCTCCCCCGGCTTCGTCCCTCCCAGGGCTCACTCCCCTAGTCCTTCTGTCCGGAGGAGTTTCTGAATGTGCCACGGGCCCAGGGCTGCAGCAGGGAGGATGCTGGGAAAGGGCTGTAGACCAGGAGGGGGCGAAATGAAGGCCAAGTGTCTTTTCCCTTACATTCCTTCCCCGGCGTTGCAAATCATGTATTCTGATTTACATTTCTATTTTATTGGCATTAGAAATGATGTTTCAACCATTTAAGTACATTCTTTTTTTCCAGTTTCTAAAATTATGCTCACAGGCAGATTTCTTTGGCGGGCGCGGGGGCGGTTACGTCTTCGTGCCTTACCGTCAGTGGCTTAACCTGTATCGCAGAGGAGAGCAGAAGGCGATTCTCGGATCTGTGTGTGCTTTGTTTTAACAAATACGTCGGGTCACAGCTGTCAGACCATCCTCTCCTTTCTGTCCTTGGTACCCTAACTTGAACGCGGAACAGACAGAATTTTTGAATAACTTAGTTTCTTACAGAAGTTTGCCGCTGCGAGGACTCCGGTTAGACCACCTCTGGGGGACGTTTAGAAGCCCAGCTCAGACTGGCCGAGAAGAGAGGCTGGACACGTGCGGGGAGGGCCTGAGGAGAAGCCATGGTGGCTTCTTAGTGTGGCTGGGCGGGTGGCAGGAAGGGCGCCTGTGGGGAGAGTTTTCTGACGGGCCTGCCCTGCAGAGGGTGGGGGCAGGAGCGGAGGCCCAGGCGCGCCCCCCGCCCCCTCCGCTTAAGCGCCTTTTCTTCCACAAGGAAGTGTGGGAAGAGCTTCAGCCGCTGTTGCTTATCTCCGTTATCACTGCCACGGCCTCCGGGGGGGGGGGGGGGGGGGGGGGGGGCGCCTGGCAGCTCTTCTCTGTCTCTGTTCTTCCCCCTCCGTGAGGCATGCCATGATCTGCAGCCCATCCCCCCACCCCAGACCTTTCTAAACTCTTCAGTGAAAACTTTCAAAACACTGCAAAATGAAAAGCATTTCACAGTGAAGCCCACGTGCCCGTGGCCACGAGCAGCCTCCCATCAGCATGTCGCCACGGACCTTGTCACGCCCCTCCCCGTCCTCATTTCATGGCCCTCCGCCCCGCTGGCTGCCCCCACGTTGCAGAGTAAATTGCAGGCATCGGTATACTTCCCCCAAAATTGCATACTGTTCGCTAGAGCTCAGTATGTTTTGATTTTCTTTTGATGTAAAATTTAATTATAACAAAATGCACAATTCTGAGTGTTCCTTTGCTGACGTTAGACAGACACACGCCTGTGAAATCCAGGCTCCTGTCGAGAGGCGGAGCATCGTCCTCACTCTCTGCCGCGCATTTTGAATGTAAATGTTTTAACCCTTCATTTTGAAATCATTTCAGACTTTAAAAAGTTTCCAAAAATAGTAGGTACAAAGAATTCCCATGTGCCCTTCCGCAGCTTCCCCAGATGTCAACACCTTAACATAAACACAATCAGCATGGTCACCTTGATACATGATGCCCTTAACGGTCTTATCAGTTGTCCACCAGTGTCCCTTTCCTGCCCCAGGATCTGCCTGGAATCCCACCTACATTTAATTGTCACACTCCCCAGTCTCCTCCCATCTGGGACAGTCCCAAAGTCTGTCCGTCTGTCTAGCACAGCCTTGACACTTGTGAAGAGCACTGACCATTGACTCTTTAGAAAATCCCTCACCTTGGATCAGTCTCATACCTTCCCGTGATAAGATCTGAGGTTTGCGCTTTGGGCATGAATCTGACAGAAGTGCTGTCGCACCCTTGCAGGCAGCATGTGGTGTCGGAACATCCTGCTTCTGGTGTTGACTTTGATCTCGGGTCAAGGTGGCATTGGCCAGGCTTCTCTGCAAAGTTACTCACCTCCCCTTCGTAACGGACAAGTGTATTTAGGGGAGAGTCTTTGAAACTATGTGAATATCCTGTTTGTTAAACTTCATCTATTAATTCTGCATCCATTGATGAGACTTGCATGAAGCAGTTATTGTAATATTTGAGAAATGGTGATTTTTTTTAAAAAAACCATTCTATTTACACATATTAATGGAATTCTATAAGGAACCAATTTCTCCACTTACTGTTTAGTTACGTATGTTAATATGTGTTTTCTTCTGTGGGCCATAATCTATACTGTTATTTTGTAGCTAACATCGTTTGAGATTTGCTTTTCGGAGCCCCTCTGAGTGGCTCCTGGGCCCTCCTGACCCCATTATTTTCAAGGCACTTCCTACATACTGGTACCTCCAGGTGCTCCAGCCCTGGAATCGGCTGTTTCTCCAAAGAGCTCTGGTCCCCAATCTTTCGAGAATTACACTTTTAAAATTTGTGACTTATAAATCCTTTAGAAATCTTCTCTGTGGGTCCTTCTCTGTTTGTGTCCTCTGAGTGAACTCAAAAAAAAAAAAAAGAAAGAAGTCCTTGTAAGACTTTAATCTGCCAACTGTGGTCAAGAATAAAAGGAGGTTCTTTAACTTAGGGGTGAGTCATAATTTTCATGTTTAGTCCTCATCTTTCGATACTGCAGTCCTGCTTATGGGGCTATAAATTGTTATACGACGTTTCAGAGTGTTAAAAAAAGACAAACTTTGCAGGTACAGCAGAAAGAAGAAGCTGGAAGCCGTGGTGACAGGATGCCCAACCCTTGAGAGAAAGATGTCTGTCTAGCCTGAAGGTCCAAGTTTTCTGGGTTAGAAGCTATTTTGAGAGACTCGTATAGAACTAGGAGGCAGAGAACAGATCGTTGCGTTGGAAGCTGGGCCCACCGTGCTGCCTGCGTGGCCGAGAGCTGAGCAGCTGCTGGTTCCTGGCTCTTCTGCTCTGCCCAGCACGCTGGCCTTGTGTTTTGGAGGAAAGTGTTCTGAAGCAACAAGTGCCTACCCGATGTCTCTCTTTTACGGCCTTTCCACGTAAGGATAGAGGTTACGTCCGTGGCAGGACCAGGTGACATCCTGAGTTCCTTTCCAGTGCTCAGACACCTATATACAAAATTACTTCTTCAAACAATGTGTGTGTGTGTGTGTGTGTGTGTGTGTGTGTGTGTGTGTGTGTATCTCCCATATACAGTGGGAGATAAAATAACTGAACAAACTCCCTGCATGCTTTTTTGAGTGCTGTGAAGCATGTTAACCAGATGTATTTCAACGGGCATTGGTGATCCTATAGGACAAAACTAAAAAAAGGATGTATATCAAAAAGATTGGACACTTAGAACCACAGCCTGGCCAGTGCCCTGACTGTTGGGTCCCAGAAGCCTGTCGGGCTTAGGTGCCCACTCCCGGCCTTCAGAGGCCACGCCCACTGCCTTGACCTGGCTTGTGTTGTCATAACAGGACCTACATTGCCCATCAGTTTTTATTTAAACATGTCGGTAGGCAGTAGAGTCCTCCCCACTCCTGCTCTTTTCTAAATGGGAAGTTTCTCATGGCAAGGCTCATGGCAAGGACCGTTTTTCATGGCAGCATCTCTGAAAAGTTGCTTCTGGAATGGCATCCATGGTAAATGTGTTGAAAGAATAGGGTGGAGGAGATGAAGAAGAGGGTGGAAATTATGAGGTAAGTAGAGCAATGTGGTCTTGAAGTCATACCATAAGCTTTCCCAGAAATGCTAATTAAAAATCCGGAGTTTCGGCCAGTAGTGGACTAGTAGTGATTAAGTAGGACAGTAGTGGGGCTACTGTTAGGGTGTGTGATCTGAGAGCTCTCTTGGAACTTGGAGGATGACATGGGAAGGTGTCTGACCAGCCAGGAGAGCGTGCATCACCAAGATGAGAACTAGAGGGGCAGAATCCGTATACCAAGCCCTCAGCTCATCAAGAAGATATAACAATTGTGAATATACATGCACCCAACATTAGAGCACCTAATATATTAAGCAAATGCTAACAGTTTTCTGAAGGGAGAAACAGACAACAACACGGTAAGGAAACCTTGGACTTGAACCATACCAGCCCTTTCCTTTTCCACTGGTGAACAGCTGCCCTGGGTGTTAGCATGTACAGGAAACATAAGGTGTGGTCTTTGCCATCAGACTGCTCACCTGCCTGGTTTTCAAAGAACTAAATAATAATGCAGTAATTTAAATAACAAGAATAGTTTGTGTAGCATAAGGGACTGCACGTTGGTTGAGAGGGGAAAGGGAAAGTTGGTTGAGAGGGGAAAGGGAAAGGCGGCTGAAAGGGAGAGTGAGCTGGCCTGATGGTGCACGTCTGGGAGTGGTGGGGGAGGGAGGAGGGAGGCCCTTCCGTGCGAGGGGCGGCAGTGAACCCTGTGTTGAAAGGATGGGCTGAACCAGGCAGCTGGGTCTAGGTTAGAAGGCTGTTGGATGCGAAGTTAAGGACTGTGGATTTCATCCTGTAGAAACCGGGGGTGGGGTATTGGGGCGGCAGTGTTGACATTTTTCAGGAGGGGAATGGATTGACCAAAAGGGACATTAATCAGACAAGCAGACTGGAAGTAGGGTTCTGTAGGCAACAGAAGGAACTTGGTTGGTTAGGCTGCTGGCATGTGAGAGGTGGGGTTAGGGTGGTGATGTGGGAATGAATTGCAAAAGATGGTCATGAGAGATACTTCAAACAAAGGATGAAAGGATGTGCCTGGTTAGGAATCAGAGTTGACCTCAAGATGACAAGCCGGGGTGACTGGACGTAGTAACTGAGAAAGACAAATGCCAGTGGGAGCATATCAAGGCTTCCTAGAGCTTGACCCTCAGTGACACCCACCTGTCAGCTAACCTAGCACAGGTGGCAACTGTTCAGTTATGATGTACACTCAGTTATGATGTACACTACATAATAGGGTTCTCGGGCTAGCTTTGTACTTTTTAAAATTAAGCTAAAAGAAATTAAGAATAGATTTACAAACCTTTCTTAGCCAATCCAAGTACCCATCTAACTCTCCCGCCTTTTTTTTTTAACCTTAGGTTGACCCCAAAGATTGGCTTCCCATGGAGCGAAATCAGGAACATCTCTTTCAATGACAAAAAGTTTGTCATCAAGCCCATCGACAAGAAGGCTCCCGTAAGTTCATAACAGTTACAGGTTACTGTTTTTCATCTTGCAGCCAAATACGTTTCCAAGATAAAGGTCAGATTTCTCTGTGTGGCAAGGAGCCGGTGATACTCAGAATTACCTGTGTGTGTGTGGGCGGGGGGAAGAAGTCCCAGTAGGTTACATGGAGGGTTAAGGTCCCCTTGGGCCCCGCCACTGGGCATTGCAGTAGGAGGCTATGGTGGAACCCAGCAGGTCCGTCAGAAGCCAGCTGACTCTTGTCATCTAAGTTTCCAAATGGCCTTCATTCCTCATGAAGAAAAGGGCGGTTCTGAGTCATCGACCTTTGCTAAATGATAAGCATTTCACAAAGTGTTGCATTTCTGGGCTTGTGAAATGTTCATATTCATGTGGAAAACCAGCCTGCCTCCAGGCAGTGGGCCTGGGGTGGGGTGCTCACGGCAGCATTGCCCTGGTACCCCCTGGAGCACGCACTGTGATGGTCAAGCCTCGGGGCCGGGCTTTGACTTGGTGAGCTGTCCTTGCAACTTACCCACGTTAGGATACGTCAGACTTGCTGGCCCCCGCATCCCCCGCTCCTCCTGGTACGGACTGCGCCTTGTTTTTCTCTGACTGCCCTGTGCCCCGCAGGTGGTCTTCACACTGGCACCTTCACATCGGTGCTGATGTAGGAAACGGCCCCTCACAAAGAAGAGCCTGTTGGGCAGTCATCCTGGGAGGACTTAGCTAGAAAGGGAACGTCATATCCTAGAATTTGAATACCGACTGTTAGCTAATAGCTGTAAAGACCGGTACATTGTGGAAATTATGTAAACTTTCAGCTGCGTTTGCTCAAAAGATTAAGACAATACGTAATGTAGAGTGGTGGAATGGGTGAGGAGTTTGTTTTTTGTTTTTTTTGAAAAGACGTGGAGGAATTTTTCTTTTAATTTATTTAATTTTGGCTGCAGTGGGTCTTCATTGCTGCACACAGGCTTCCTCTAGTTGTGGTGAGCGGGGGCTACTCTTCTTTGCGGTGCACAGGCTTCCCACTGCGGTGGCTTCTCTTGTGGAGCATGGGCTCTAGGCACGCAGGCTTCAGTAGTTGTGGCTCGCGGGCTCTGTAGAGCGCAGGCTCAGTAGTTGTGGCGCACGGGCTTAGTTGCTCCGCAGCATGCGGGATCTTCCCGGACCAGGGATTGAACCCGTGTCCCCTGCATTGGCAGGCGGATTCTTAACCCCTGCGCCACCAGGGAAGCCCAGGAATTCGTTTTCTAATTGGAAATCTGTCCTTTAAAAAACTGCCACTAGAAGAAATTCTTACCCTTCTTGGAGCCTGTCGTGAATTTTACCAGAATTACAGTTCGGAAGGAACTTGGTGTCTCATGTAATTTGCTTCCTTAGTTACAGTGTTCGGCTCAGAGAGGCACGTCTGGGAGCCCTCCAGGGCTTGGGCACCGCATGGTGACGGTTAACGCTCAGGGGACAGCGTGTGGCATTGCTGTCCAGCTGCTCCTCCCACGAGGGGTTAGTCCCGAGGAAGGGAAAACCAGAGGTCTGGACGCTGTGTGTAGAAGTATTGTCTTCACTGAAAGACACTTTCCGTGTTCCTGCTGTTCGCAAACTCATGACTCCTGCTCCATGGGCAGTTGCACAGCTATTTTAAATTAACAAGCGTTTAGTACAGGCTCTCCAGCTCCGTGGTAACAGGTCACATTAGTATGCAGCACCGTGAACCGAGGGTCGTAGTGTTTGTTACCAGCGTTACGTGGGCAGTGAGATGGGGCAGTCAGAGCGAGAAGATCCTGCGACCCTGTGTAGGCTACTGTCTGTTCATGAGACGTTACTGATGGTTCAGAACATTTTTTGAGAAGTGACAGAAGCAGGAATTCTGGGTAGACTGTTTAAGAAATTAAGTTGTATGTTTTTTTTCACATTTGGTTTAAGTTTAGCTTCCGAAAAGCTGAAGAATATTGTACAACCACAAGCTCCCAGGCAAAGGCAGTTGCGGTACATCTGGTTGAATTAGCCGAGTATACTTATGCTATAATCTGGTTTTATGTGAAGCCGTCACTTGAAAGGGGAAAAAGGGAGAGAGAAACATTTGCTGGTCACATGCCGCGTGTCAGGCGCGATACTAGGATGGTGTGCATGGCGGAACAGGACAGGTCCCGCCCCAGGAGGTGGACACGCCAGTGAAGAGATGGGTGAAGACAAACGAAACAACGTGCTTTCTGGCAGAGAATTTAACAGTGCAGCTGTACCGAGTGACAGGTCGGGGGACGCACATGAGAGGTGGGGTGGGCGATGGCTTCAGGTGGGTGGGTCTGGGGGGCCTCACGAAGGAGGCGTCCTCTGCTTGGGTGCCTTATGGTGGGGGCTGGCTGGGGGGACGGGTCCCTTGGGGCCCGCACACCTCCCAGGGCTGTTCTGCGCAGCCGCAGGCAGGCTTAGCGCCTGGGGCGGTGGAACACCACATGTCCAAGTTCACGCCTTTACGTAGAAGACAGAAAAGGAGACCCGAAAGGTCGCGTCACCACTCCGGGGGAGGGATTCCTGAGCTTGCGTGGAGGGCGGTCCCCTGGGCAAAGCCCCCGGCGCTCAGCCGGCCCCGCGCCTCAGCCAGGCAGCTTCTGCCCCCGGCCACGTGGGTGCCGCGGTCCGGGGCCGTGATCTTGACTCTTGTGCTGCTCAGTGCCTGCCTGGGTGGCTCACGGGGCCGAGACAGCTGGCTCCCCTCGAGAATGGGCCTTTTGTTCCTGCCCCACGGGAGAGGCGGAAGGATGGAGACCTGCACGTGACAGCAGCGGGCCCTGCCCAGCCTGCGCAGAGGGCGGCCCCGGGGCTCCCGTGTTCACCCGACAGCTTGCCAGGGCTTCCCTCCTTCCTCCTCCGTGTCCTTGGGGACTTGGGTTCGCTTTCCTCATGCCTGGTTTCGGTTTTTAGGACGTCGTTCTCTGCCAGCTAAGATGGCCTGCCCCAGGTCTCATCAGGAGGCCTGGGCTGGAGACGTGGATTTAGAAATCTCTAAATAAAAGTTTCTAGTTTTTGTTTTTAACTTGAAGTCAGGAAGTGGCCTCCTTCAAGGCGGCACGCGAGGGCTCCTCCACCTCCCGCGAAGCCGTGGATGCTCTCGCTGTCTCTGGTGTTCACAGGCCCTGTCTTCGGGCGACCGGACGCTGTGGGGAGTGTCACCTGCAGTTCTGACCCTCGATATTTTTTAAGTGACGTTTTTCTGAAGAGGAGTTCGTGCTAATTAGAGTTTCTTTACAAATACTTAGGAACCACAGTCAAGACCCATTTGGGTAGCATGGCTGTGCAGCCGTAACAAGAGATTATTTTCTCTTTGTGTAATAGGAGACAGGTGGGTAATAAAAACACCCGCTTCTCCCAGCTCCGCAGACACCTCCTTCGGAAACCCGATGACTTAATAACAAGTGTGTGAAACCCCAAGGAGAGCCCCCCTCCGCCCAGGAGGTCCGTGGGCTCTCAGGCTCGACATTACTCTCTCCTAGCATTTTTGGACAGGTGTACCAGACTGAGGCACTAAGCAGGCCCTTCCTGGGCCTGTTGCTCAGCTCGCGCGGCGTGCTCCTGTAGGTTTTGGAAGTCGCTCTGGGACACACGGCACCGCTTCTTGGCCTCAGCCACCCCGTCCCTGTCGCAGTGGTTGGCATCTGGGTGCTCAGGGCCCTGTGCCTCAGAAGAGAAAGGAAAGCGGGAAGAGGAAGCAGATGCGCCTTTTCCCATGTATATATATTTTTTGGCCGTACGCGGGCCTCTCACTGTTGTGGCCTCTCCCGTTGCGGAGCACAGGCTCCGGACGCGCAGGCTCAGCGGCCACGGCTCACGGGCCCCAGGCGCTCCGCGGCATGTGGGATCTTCCCGGACCGGGGCACGAACCCGCGTCCCCTGCATCGGCAGGTGGACTCTCAACCACTGCGCCACCGGGGAAGCCCTCCAGTAGCTTTTAGCAAGAGTTTCTAAACTATACTGCTCCTCTGTCGCCTCTGTTAATTACAGGGGTAATCAGGAGCTAGGAAACGAGACCCTGTGTTATCCGTGTCCCGGACTCGTGTGGTCACAAGTCATAAAGCTCTTGGATGCTGTGATTTTGTTCTTGTTTTTAAGAAGGCTTTCCAGGGCTTCCCTGGCCCGTGAGCCGTGGCCGCTGAGCCTGCGCGTCCGAAGCCTGTGCCCCGCAGCGGGAGAGGCCACAGCAGTGAGAGGCCCGCGTACCGCAAAAAAAAAAAAAAAAGGCGGCTTTCCAGTAGCGGTTTTGTAAGACAGCCCGAAGTTTGAGGCAGCTTTCATTGTGCCAGACGCCTTTGTAAGTCTTGTGAACATTTTCTGAGTTAATCCTCACAAGACCGTTAGTTGTAGCTGAAGATGCTGAGGCTCAGAGTGACGGAGCGACTCGCCCAGTATCACGGGGTCAGATGCGACAGTGCCGCGGGAACTGTCAGTCACCAGCAGATAGTTGTTCCCTGGGCACATTGGTCTGGTCCTGGGAACGCAGAGATGAATGAACGTGGCCCAGCTCTCCAGGGAGCTGACCATCTAGTGGGGGGAGAGAGAGCGGAACAAGCCAGCGGGGCAAGGCACCAGCAACGCCGCAGCTGACCTCTCCATCAGGTGCGGGGGGCACAGAAGTGACAGCTGTGGAGGAGGAGAGATCTCGTGGAAGTGCTGTGGCCTCAGGTGTGTGGGATTGGACATGACATGCCAAGTAGGAGGGACTGTGTGCGGATGTGCTCACGGTGTGAAAGAGTGCAGTTTAGGTGAACAAGGGGTGGGTCAGGGCCGGAAGGCCTTCACGTGCGCCAGCCCAGGGCGTTTGCACCTGGTCCTGGAGCTGACGGGCTGGCATCAAAGTTCCGCCGGTGACCCTAGCAGTGCGCTGGTAGCAGCATGGGAGGCGAAAGGCTGAGACGGAGGAGACGGAAGCTCAGTGAAGTAGGAGAGGCTGTGCTGTGCGGGCAGGAACCGGGGACGGACAGGGCTGTGGGGCTGGAGAGGCCGGACGAGGATGTTAGCCTGAAGGCCGGGGGGGCTGGGCCCGGAGCAGCTTTGTGGTCCAGCCGTGAGGTTCAGCACGCACACCCCCTCTGCTTGTCCTGCAGAACGTGCGCCCCGCGGCACCAGGAACGTCTGTCTGTCATTCGGGGTCAGTGGCTGTACCTTGAACCCCCTTTCTGGCCCGTACTCTCTGCTACGTTTGTCCTTTTCGAAGAGGTATCCAGAAGTGGGTGAAGTCGGGTTTGGAACAAGAAAGCCAAAGGAAGGTGTTCCCCTTGTCGCAGTCTGCCCTGTTCTCTTCTGCAGGACTTCGTGTTCTATGCCCCCCGCCTGCGAATTAACAAGCGGATCCTGCAGCTGTGCATGGGGAACCACGAGCTGTACATGCGCCGCAGGAAGCCCGACACCATTGAGGTGCAGCAGATGAAGGCCCAGGCCCGGGAGGAGAAGCAGCAGAAGCAGCTGGAGCGGTGAGCAGGGGCGGGCGGTGGCAGGAGGGCCGGTCGGGGCGTGTTCTCCCGGGCACGGGGACGGGCAGCCGTGTCTGCGCTGCTCCCCGCAGAAGGGCCGGCGGATCACAGTTTGCAGGGCCGCGGCTCAGCCCTCAGAGCTGTCTTGCTGTGGGCAGGGCAGAGCCCGAGGTGGAGAGCAGTCAGGGCACCTGGGGTCAGTGCTGTCACCAGTGTCCTCTGCTGGACGGACGGGCCCGGGGCCTGGACTGGACGCTGGGGACGGCTGGTAACCAAGACGCAGCTGCCCCTCATGTGCCTGGGCTGGGATGACCAGGCCGCTGTGCGGAGTCTGAGCCTCCTGTGCCACCACCGATTCCCCTCCCGGAAACAGGCAGCAGTTGGAAACCGAGAAGAAAAGGAGAGAAACCGTGGAGAGAGAGAAAGAGCAGATGATGCGTGAGAAGGAAGAGCTGATGCTCAGGCTCCAGGACTACGCGGAGAAGACCAGGAAGGCGGAGAAAGGTGGGCGGGGCCTCTGCCCCGGGGGGCCGACGGTCGGCACACGCCAACCAGGAGGGAACCCCGTCCCAAGGACACACATCCCAGGTTAAGCACACACCCGAAGTAGAGACTTGCAGAAGAGACGTGATAAAATGGTTGTAGAAAATAATTCTGTATTTTATTAACACCTGTGTGGGTTCTGTGCCGAATGCTTTATGCACAGTAATCCTTTGAATTGCCCCCAGGCCTGTGAGGGGAGGGCTGAATTATCCCCCGTTTCTGATGAGGATGTTAAGGTTCCGTGAGATAGAATGCTTGGCCTGCGGTCTCTGGAGATGTGCTGCATCTCCCCCGCTATAAGCTGAAACCCAGGCGAGCGGTGCAGATGCTGAGTTTCTGGGGAGAGCAGCGCAACGAGGGTGCGGCCAGGGCCTGGCCGGGGGAGGGCAGTTTCACCACCGTGAGCGTTCCCTTCAGTGTCCCGGGGAGAAGAGGTCCTGGCACCGTGAAACTTGGCCCACCGCTTTGCGGCGTTGGTGTGTTCACGCTCGTGTCCCATCCGGTCCCCTCTGGGTGGCAATTCGGGGCAAGACTGCAGGGTCCCTGGCAGGAGCCTTGAGCAGCTCTGGTTCTGCGCTGTGTCTAGAGCTCTCGGACCAGATCCAGCGAGCCCTGAAGCTGGAGGAGGAGAGGAAGCGGGCGCAGGAGGAGGCCGAGCGCCTGGAGGCCGAGCGCCTGGCCGCGCTGCACGCCAAGGACGAGCTGGAGAGGCAGGCGGCGGATCAGATCAAGAGCCAGGAGCAGCTGGTAGGGGGCGCGGCCACACGGTGCTCAGTTACAGAGAGGCCGCCTCTGGGGATTGAAAAAGTGACACCTGCCTTATAATAATTGGTATTGGGGCTGTAAGGTGACCTGCCTGAGGGTGTAGGGTGGCCCGTGGGGAGGGGGCCCTGCGGTGGTTGGCCCTCGGGCGGCGGGGGGAAACCGCTGGACGGGGACTCGGCCATGTACCAGAACACGTGGCCCTCCGTTCGCGAGTGGCGCCTGCCGAGCGCGTCCCGGAAATCACCTTGGCTCCGGCCCCTTTCCCAGGCCACGGAACTCGCCGAGCACACCGCCAAGATCGCCCTCCTGGAGGAGGCGCGGCGGCGCAAGGAGGACGAGGTGGAGGAGTGGCAGCTCCGGGTGAGCGCTGGCGAGGACGCGGTGGGGGGGTGGGGTGGGCAGCAGGGGAACGAGAGCCACTTGCTCACCGTGCTCTGGCTGCCCCCATCAGGAACTAGCTTTGTGTGGGATTACGCGGGTGTCCCCAGCCGCGGCCGTGGTCCCTGCGCGGAGCCCTCCTGCCGCTCCCAGCGCCAGTCCACGCATGGGAAGACCTGGATCCTGGGGGTCTCCAGGCTCTGCTGGGCTGGCGGCCTCGCCTCTGAGGCTCGGTTTCCTTGCAGATCGGGACGAGCAATACCCGACTCGTAAGGACCCCCAGGGGTTTAGTCAGTTTTCGCTGTCATAGTGAGAACCGCGTCGGTTCCGGTGTCAGGGGCGCCTGTCTCCATCTGGGAGCCCCCTTGCGTACCGGGACCGTGCTGTGCGTCGGGTTCAGAGTGTAGACCACGGCCAGGCCGTGGGGCTCCTCTCCCCTCCCCAGCTCTTTCCAACGCTTCCCCCTCTGCGGTGGTCCTTTCTGGGGATGGCCGGCACCTCCCCCTCATGGGTCTTCACCCCCGCCCCATCCCCCTACTCTAGCTGTGTGCAGAACACTTCAGTCCTTAGGTTTTCAGAGAAAGTGCTCCTTATAAGGTATTAAATGAGGAACTGGTTACAAAACGGGTACAAGCTAAGCGCGTCTCGGGGCCAGGGTGGTGACGAGGTGGGCGGGGTTGAGTGTGCGGACCCCCAGGAGTTGCTGGAAGGACTACCGGGTGGCAGGTAAGAAGGGCTTGAGCTGGGGGCTGGCAGGCTGGGAGGGGCTTGATAGCAGCGCCGCGCGGGGGAAGAACAAACCGAACACCAGCATGCTGGAGTGCTCCTCAGTGGCTGGAGGGTTTGCTTCTTTGACAGTTTTTTCAAAAGTATATGCAGTGAACATATACAAGGACTACAGACATAAAGAAGTTACAGTACTTAGACAAATGTCAAGACCTGGTGTGACAGTTTCTCTTGGTGCCGTGGGCACAGTTGATACCTGCTCAGGGGATCCGGGTCCGCAGACCTGGAAGAGGCTGCAGAGACCAGGGCCACCTGCTCAGCCACATTCCTGGCGCCTCGGCTCTGTGCTGCTTCAGGCCAGGCGCATCTCCAGCCCCCAGGAGAAGGGAGTGGGGGGAGGGAGCGGAATCCTTCTTCTCTTAGCACGGACGGTGGCCTTCTTGTAGAGCAAAGGCGGCTCTTAAGAAAATGGTCCAAACACGAGGTTCCCCGTGAAAGGTTCTCAGCTGTCCATTAATCTGCTTTCAAAGGCCAAAGAAGCCCAGGATGACCTGGTAAAGACCAAGGAGGAGCTGCACCTGGTGATGACCGCACCCCCGCCGCCTCCGCCCCCAGTGTACGAGCCCGTTAACTACCATGTCCAGGAGAACCCGCAGGAGGAGGGCACGGAGTACACAGGCTACAGCGCCGAGCTGTCCAGTGAGGGCATCCTGGACGACCGCAACGAGGAGAAGCGCATTACCGAGGCCGAGAAGAACGAGCGCGTGCAGCGGCAGCTGAGGGTGAGCGGGATGCGGGCCGGGCCCGCTTTCCCCACGGGGCGGGGGGGGGGGGGGCTGGGGCTCTGTGTGGGGCCGCGAGCTGACCGAGGCTGCTTCACGTTACAGACTCTGACCAGCGAGCTGTCCCAGGCCAGAGACGAGAACAAGCGGACCCACAATGACATCATCCACAACGAGAACATGCGGCAAGGCCGGGACAAGTACAAGACGCTGCGTCAGATCCGCCAGGGCAACACCAAGCAGCGCATCGACGAGTTTGAGGCCATGTGAAGGGCGCCGCCGCCCGGGCTCGGCGGAGCGAGGGCCGCTGGCCGACTCCTAACGTGTACTTGTATTGATCGTTCTCGAGACCTACAGCCCTCATCATCCTACAGGCCCTTTAAAAAGAGAGTAGTTATTTCAGTGGGAATGTTCTAGGGCTGGGAGTTTATTTTTCCCAACTGTATCATAGTGCCAAACAGGCCTGATTTTTATTTTTATTATTATCATTGAATCACTTCCTGTTTTATGCTTGGAGCAGGGCTGAATCAGTTAAGATGCCTGTAATGTCTGAATAACTAACTCCGTGCTGGCATGTGTGATAAAAGCCACATCGTGGCTTACATTCTGTGCCATACTTTTTTCTATTTGAAATTAGCTGACATTGATTTCTTGTTGATTTCTATGAAGGATGCATCTTTGTATATTTGGTTTTTGAAGGATGAAATTTTTGAAAAGTCTGAAGTACTCTCTCTCACACACTTGCACACACGATTTCCTTCCTCCAGGCCTTCAGTTCAGTTGATGAAATCCTGTGATCATTCGATCACTCAGGATAATTTTTTTTCTTTCTTTTTTATGCTTAACAGCTAGAGGGCTACATTGTTGGACTTATACACCTAAATAATCAGCTGTAGAGTACAGTATTTATATGTAAGTGATGAGATGGGTTTGTAACATTAGTTTAAAAAAGGGAAAGTTTCATTCTGTATATTTTGTTACCTTTTACAGAATAATAAAAATTACATATTAAAAACCACGTAACCATAGCACTTAATCTGATGTGACCTGAGGGCAGCAGTGAAGCTGATTAACTGTTGTAATCTCATCTGGGAAAATGGCTTTTTACTTCTAAGCGTTCCTTGTGCATGTAATCGACTACGCGCAATTTGAATTTTCTATCAGAGCTGCTTGTTTGGAAAATGACTCGCAGGCTGTTCTGATAATTCAGACTCCAGCCCTGAGGGCCCTTCTGACCCGGTCAGCATCTCGGTCCCTCCACAAGCACAACCTGTTCTGACCTCCTTCCCTTCTGGACCACGTCCTTGAAAAGGCAGCAGGTGTCCGTCGGTGCCACTTCTGCTCACTCGCGTCCTGCCTTTCCACGCTCTGCTCGGTCCTTTTCCTTTCAGGTGTCCTGTGAGGATGAACCCAAAGGCCTGCGGGATGCGGCGGCAGGCGTCTCTGGGCAGGTGCTGCTGGAGCAGCCCTTCTCGGACTCAGCTCCCGCGCAGCCTGGCAGCCGCGCTGTGTGGGGCTGGGCAGCCCTCGGGTGACCTTAGCGCTGACCCACCGGAAACGGGCATCCCTCAGCACCCCGTGGGGACGGCTGACCTCCTCCAGAAACGGTTTTCCACGGCAGAATGGTAGGAATTGACTACCCACCACGTCCTTCTTTTCCCTTTGAAACGCACATAACAAGGTCATAATTTTTGCTATTTGATAAGCACAGGGAGACCAGGGTAACTGTTGAACATTTATTGAAATCGGGTCATTTTCCACATCTCTCAAAGCACAGACAACCGACCTGAGACCTAACTAATGTAGCATCGATAATGGTTCCGACTAAATACACAGGAATGTGGAAGAACGTCTCAGCGGCAGGACGGCTATAGACAGGGAGAGCTCACACTCCCCAGGGCCCTTCGCCACCCTCCACCCCCGTACCCGCACGCCCAGCCCCGCAGCCGACCATCAGGCCCCGGCACCTGAAACCCCGCTGCGCCCGGAGCCTCCGGTCAGTGCAGGGTGAGGGTCATGTCTGTCCACAGGTTGGGGCTGGAGAGCACTTTCTGCCACTGGAGCTTTGATTGTGAGCACGAGTCTGTACCGCCCACTGGCTCTTCCCCTGTGTGTGAGCGAAGGGACAGATTAGTGATGGCAGCCAGGGGACACTCGCCGTCCTTTCGCAGTTTTAAAAAGGACCAGCAGCAAAGTATACAGTAACTTTTCACCAGAACTTAAGACCATGTTAAAATGTGCCCCGCCACAGTAAGGAGAGGAGTTCCTTAGAGGAAAGGGTGTTCTTTGGACAGTCTTCCTTTTTAAACAAATTGTAATTTAACAGCGAGTCTCGTTTCTCTTCAGTGGTCTCGGAGGCTCTGGGAATGTGTGCGGGTGTTTTGGTTGTGACAGTGTTTGGGGGGCCCTGCTGCCCCCCCCACCCCCACAAAAAGCCAGCAGCACTTCTGCTGAGCGACACTGAAAAGCGTCACCCTCTAGTCCCTCTATTAATGAAATACTTTCTGAATTGCCAGTTGTTTGGGTTAAGAAGATATTCTCCTTTAAGAAAATAATCCTTTTATGATGGACGGCCAAAAACAAAAGCAAATACTGTACCCAGCCCATTTTGAGACCTTGAATCTTTGTTTCTTTAGCAGAGCTAAATCTCATTTAAATCGTTGAGATGCTTTGCTGTATTACCGCTCAGTTGTAAAGTAAAAGCTAGAACTAAGCAATTTCCATTTCTGACGGGTCAGGCAGTTTCACAGCCAGTCAAGTCACCTGCCATCATGGGAACACTTTTTCTTTTCATGGTAGCCATGGAGGTAGGGCAGTGACTAAGGATCACCGATGCAGCTTGGGCCTTAGAAATATCTCAGACTCACTGGAACCAAGCCTGGCGCCTCCCAGCAAGCGGTCGCTCACACCGAAGGTGGCCTGGTCCCAGACGGTTAATTCCAGGGTGGACTGCCTCAGCTGAGAAGGGGTGACCCCTTTGAAAACGAAGGCGTACTTCCACTGGGGACAGGCTTGCTTCTTCAGGACGGGGGACTTCAGTCTCAACCTCTGCTGGTCTGGCAGAGTGAGACAGCTGCACGAGGAAATAGATTCAAACCCTGTAAGCTCCGCCCACCACACGGCCCCCTCTCTCTGTTGGCACCTGCTCATCGGTGAGCCTGAGTGCTCAGAGAAGCGCTAAACCCACTGCAGAACAAAAATTGTGAGCAAGGAACAAGAAGGAATTTTGAGATTGGCTACGTGACCTCTCACACTAGGATGTTCCAAATTCCCCTGAGAGCTGAATTCTGTCCCGAGTACTCTGTTAAGGGGACTTCGGGCTTCGAGGCCACGTGGCCCTTGCCTTAATCCGCCTCCTTGGTGTGACGACCACCAGGCCACAGCGAGGCTCGTCAGACCTGCTACCCAGGGACCAGGACTCTGCACACACGTTATCTCCTTTAACCCTGCTCTCAGGAAAATAAATGCAGAAGGGCTAAGTCACTTGCTCAAGGCCGTACAGATAAGTGGAAGGAAGGCTTAGGAGATGCACTCAGTTCTGTGTGGATGAGGTCAGCCATCATTTTTCCATTGTGTCACCGCCTGGGGATCTAGCAAGTCTACACACTTATTAACGGCGTGTGCTTTACGTTTGGAGACACCATGACACCCGAAGTGAGTAAGAATGGAGCGCGCAGAGTCATCCGTGTTACTGTTGATCCAAGAGGAGATGTTAAGCTAAAGAAATATTTAGCAACCACACTGCTTTCCGCTTGCTCCCCACTCAGTCCCTAGGGCTGATTTACTGATGTCACAAGGACAAGATTTGGGTTTAGTTTACAATGTGGTATTCCAAAGCCAGCCTCAGCACTCCCAAGTCCCGTGAATTCTTGGAAACGCGTCGTTAGCACGCATTATGTCAGATTTTCACAGGCAAGCTAAAGTGAGTTTAAAACGGCTGACACGTTTTGGTGTTTCCTTACAGAGACGATGCCATGTGTGATCATCAATAAATCATATTTGATTAAATGTAATACTTACCCCTTAACAAATGAGTTTAAGGTACCATCTGAGCGCACAGGTAGATTCTGGGCTCGCAGCACTACCAGACAGAGCTGACCGTTACGTGATGGCTCGTCTCCCGTCCCTGGAAGGAAAGCTGGCATTCACCGTCAGTGCTACCTCTGCGGCCCGCAGTGGCACCAACCCAGACTGGCAGCTTAACCAGAGGGTGGGCTGCAGCCCTCAGATCCCGAGAGCTCGCGGGCAGAGGAGCACATGCACCACTGCACGGGCAGCATGGCGGCAGCGGGGAAGGACTTAAAATCCAGGGAACCAGAAGCTGCCGAGAGTAACAAGGGGCCAAGGAGAGGCCGCAGCAGGGGCGCGAGCCAGCTGTGGCCAGCAGGTTGGGGAAGAGACCTCTGCTGACGGGGGCTCCCGTGGAGCACGGGGGGGTGTGCTGCTGGCCTGCTGGGGCCCTGTGAGCCCAGCAGCAGAACCCCCTCTTTGGGCAGACAGGAAGTCACGAGTCACTTTGTGGAACTGCCCCTCCTCCCGTCTTCACTCTCCACCCTCGTCTTTTCCACGTGCCCCACGTTATGAGTCGGTGACATCTCCTGAAGCTCCTTGAGGACCCTGATCCTGCCATGCAGCTGCTGCTCACGTGGCCCAGGAGCAGGGAGCCGGTCACTCGGAGCCTTGCAGGTGCCTGAACCTGGAGTTGGGGACAAACTCCCGGCCGTCACGCAGGTGGTCAGTCTGCGAGGGGGGCCCCAGCGGGACTGTTGGCCCAGGCAGGCCAGGCAAGCCGGCCCCCTGGGAGGAAAGCCTCGGGGCAGGTGTCCTAGGAGCCCGTAAAGCAGGCACCGCGGCCTGGCTTTGGTCGTTCCTTTCCCTTCCGAGCCGAGGCTTCCAGAGAACCCGCCTCCCGGGCTGGGCTTCGCAGGTTGGGTGGGAGTTATTGGAGCTCGTGGGATCGGGGGCGATGGGAGGAAACGCTGGGAAACTGCCCAGGCTCTGAGGACAGTGACAGACAAACGTTTGTGGGGCTGGAGGCCACCCACCTTCTTGAGCCTCCTGGAGCTTTCCGGGCCCTGCAGGGAAGACCAGTTTGGCCCGGACCACAAGTTCTCCGTTATTCTTGGGGACGCTGTCTTCATCTTTCTCTGCCTGTGGGAAGAGAGGATTCCCCAGAGCCAGAATCTCCTAGGCTTCTCTCACTGCCTCAGCTCTGTCCATGAGCATCCCCTTCCAACCTCCCCCTGCCAAGCCTCTGGGAGCCCCGGTGGTGTGGGCACACCTGTGGCAGGGCTGGGCTTCCTTCCGTTTGGGGACGTTTCACTCCTACCCTCACCAGCCCCAGCTCTGCCACCCCGGCAGACGCAGCCCACCAGAGGCAGATGAGCCGAGGAAGCAGAGGGGCCCCGAGGCCCTGGCACGTCCCCATGGGATTGGCCTTAAGGAAGCCTGGGCACAACCCGGAGCTGAACAAGTAAAACAAGCCCACATTGATTCCACCCAGGTTAGTAAAGGTTCGAGCTACCCGTCCGTGCCAGGGACTGTGGCAGGCACGGGAAACCACGGGGTCCGGGGCTCGGTGCCCCTGGCGAGGGGCTCCCCCGGCTGCTGAGTCGGCCCCGCCCACCCCAGAACCCACACTGAGGACCCAGGTGGCTTCTCTGGTCGCGAGGGATTTCTGCCAGAAAGTGAGCAAAGGAAGGGCTTGGAGAGGGTGACCGTGACCCCATCAACATTTCACCCAGCGGGGTGACGCTGGGACATGTCTAGATTTGTCCGGTCCCAACGGCAGGGAGGAGCAGGCTTCCCCCTCAGCATCCCCATGGTTCCCTCCTGTCAGGACCGAAGGGGCAGGCCCGTGAGTGGGCCCTCCGCACCGATCCAGCGTGGGCTGTCACTCCCTATTAGCTGGGATTAGGAGGGACACCTTTCAGTCTGGTGATTTCTGTTCCTCGCCTGCTTATCCAAAGGTGACCAGCCTTGGTGGCAGCCTGCCTTGACCCGAGTAAGGGGTCCTGT